AGGTGCTGCCAGCCCCCACCCCGCGGGCCCCGCCTCCCGGTGCTGGTTGCCGATCAGTCTCTAAGACTTGGGGCTCCTGCCCCCCTGAGTGCTCTCGCCCTCACTGCTGGATTGTGTCCTTGGAGAACCTTTTCCAGAACCGCTCTTTAGAGCCCCCGCGGAGGATGGTCTTCTCGGCTCACGGAACAGGGAGACGAGTCTGGACCCTGACCTTCTGTCTCGAAAGCTCCCCATTTGGGTTTTGGGGAAAAGGTTAGGCCCGGAATGAGGAGCCCCGCGTTCTGGCGGATGCCGCTTAGCTCCAAGGACTCCGTGGCCTTGAGGTGTCCTGGGAATCTGCACAGTGAAGGCGCCTTGGCGTGCTCTCGGGTACTCTGCAAGAGTTCTCAACGGGCATTACCAAGAAGGCCACTATCCTTTCTGTGCCTTGCAGGAGGAGTCCATAGAAGAGATTTTTATTTTTGAAATCAATTTATCAAAAATTCTCAAATTTGGGAACAATTTTCTTTTTCATATGTTAGTGAACTCCCATTTCAAAAAATTAAGTTTAAAAATGATCTCTCCTGGTGATTTATTAAAGAAAAAACAACGAGAAGGTCTTGGCTTGCTCATTGGGGCCCTGTGCTTTCTGCTTTGATGTCTATAAACAGAGGCTGATTTGATTTCCAGGGCTGATTTGGAAATACACCCTCTGTTGGGTTTAAAATGTATCCCTCTCCAACCTTCATATATTAAGGTTTAAAGTTGAGGCAAAAGCTAAGCTTTCGGTGTTGTATCAAGGTGTCGGGGCATCGACAGCTGCCAAAATACTTTCTATTATGGTAGCTGGAAAGAATCATTGAATTTTATATAAATTTTTGTTTCCCTTCACCCACTCTCAATTGCTTTTTTTTTTCTTGTTTTGTTTTTGTTTGTAACAGTGCCTCACTATGTAGTTCAGACTGGCCTTGAACTCACTGTGTGGCCCAGGCTGACCTGGAACTCACAGTGATCCTCCTGCCTCAGCCTCCTGAGTGCTGGCATTACAGAACCATTGTCAAATAAATCAGCATTTTTTTCCCCTAGCACTTCGGCAGGACTAATACAGTAAACTGATGAATCTTAGCAGTTAATGAAAACTTGTAGCTTTGTTTTTTATTTATTTTTTAAAAATAGCATTATGTAACTTCCACAAAGGGTTATTTTAAAAATCTAACATTTTCTAAAATCCTAACACAACACTGTAATTATTGTATAGAACATACGGGAAAAGCATGCATTTTAAATATTTTTGAAAGCTGTTTTAACACAAGCTCTGGTTATCCCAAAATAAAATAGTATGTGGAATCACTTAGCCCCAAAGAGAGGCAATGAGTCAACAGTTTGTAGTTTCCAGAAGGAATATCTGCTTTTTCTACTCATACTATTAAACACCCTCCGTGGAAAATCCGGGTACTAAATGTGCTGAAAACGATTTCTGGTGTTGATGCAAAACCATATTCCTTCTGGTTCACTTCATGATAGCTGTAATTTTTACCCTTGTTTTTCATTTGGAGTTACTGAGCATAAAAATGAGTTCACAAGACTTGCAGGTCTCCGAAGTAGTAATTTATTCCACTGACACGCAGTGATCATTTACTAACTGAATCTCTGGAGGCCTAGAGGCACTAGCACATTTTTTTTCTTTGAAGTTGATGTACAAGGATGACTTCAGAACAGTGCTTTCCAAAGTAACTTTAAGCACTGGGGATTCTTTTTGCGCTGCTGTTTTTTCCGGGCTGCAGTGCTAGCGGTGAAGAAGACATCGCAGTGACCTGCCTTGATAGAAATTAAAGTTTTGTGGTGCTGGTGGATTAGTGAACAGATGCAAATAAGGTTTATACAAATTCATTTACTTATAAGAGTAAAATTAGTATAAATTATAGAAACAGCTGTCTTTGAGATAAACAAGGAGGAATCTCTTCATTTTTGAATTGACAACGCACATCAGTGAATTAAAGACTCCGGAAATGAACAGTGAAGACATTCACTTAACCCATTCTCAACAAATTCTCAAGTTTGTTTTGAGTATATAAACCTCTGTTTATGAACAATATGTATTATTTAATAAAATAGAACTATTTTTGTGAAATATCGTTTTTTGAAATCAAAGAATTCAGTAACCATGAAACGTGTTAATGATACCTTGTATTTGTCAATGTATATCATATACTTTAGCATACTTACGAGTGTAACCTGTCTGAAATATATTTTATTTGAAGACAGATTGATATAGAAACATGTAAACATCTGTTAAAGCATACAAATTTGCACAAAAAGGACATTTTGCAGTTAACATTGTCTCATGAACGTATTTTCACATATCAGTATGATCTAGAGTCTTAAAATTCTTGATGGTCATGTGGTCCATAATATTGACATATAGTATTCTTAGCTCTAAGCTTTAGGAAAATACATTTTCTAATTTCTTTACTTTCATAACTAACACTCCTTTCACTTCTTTCAACACTTTCTGGAGTATTAAGGAGAGTGACTATTTCTGTGGGACAGATTCTTAAATAGGGGCTGATTAAGGGAAATGGTTTTTACATTTCTGATTATAAATCTCCATATTTCTTCCTATAACATTTTTTAAAAAATTAATTTTCTTGGTACATTTTAGGTATACAATATAATGACATTCATCATTGGAAATTTGCACCTTTACATAATCCATCTTGGTTCTTATCGCCCCCAATTCCCCTGCCCTCCCTTCAATCCCTCCATCCCTCCCTATCTACAAAGACTTTGTTTCCATTTTTTTCATTTTGTCATTAGTTCTACTCCCTTCTTTCCTTTCCCCTACCTCTCCCATTTCCCCTTCCCCTTTGCCCCTTTTTTCCTATAACAGTCTAAAACTTGCTTTTAAAACTATGGCTGTACTTTTACCTTTTGAATTCAGTATCTCATTGGCAGTGAATTTGATTGTTTATATTTGTTTAAGTAGATCGGGGAAGCTTTAAAATATGTGCATAGGAAATAACAAAATACCTGGAGGAACTTAGGTAGCTGTGTCATTAGTCTGTCAAGGGCTTTAGTACTCTTTCCCTCTCAGTGTGCCTCTCCTCTGCAAATCTTCCAAATGAATTTTATGTAATTAAATGAATTTATCTTAAATTATAACTGTACAGAAAGTCAAGATATAAACATTGGCCTATTCACTGGTATTGGAGGGGCTAGGCAAAGTTGACCTGGGAGCACTGTTTAAAAAAGGAGTCAAAATTTGGATAAAACCCCAGTGTAAAGACGGCCATCTTTGGAGGACTCCTGCAGGAAGGAAAACCTTGCCAGTTTTCAAAAGCACTAGATAAGATAGAGCATCACCAGGGCTTTCAATTTTTTTCATAGATTTGAATGAAGTAATTAAGAAAATACTGAGATAGCTACCTTGACCCAAGGGGCTTCCAGTGTTTGATAATCATAGATATTAATGATGTTGCATATTAGCAGTCATTTTTAATGGTTTTTCTGATGATGATTAGACAACTTCTCCTTAAAAATAAAAATATACTCGTATCCTGTCATGACATATATTGATGTTTAAATTTTAAATACTACCCTCTCGCTCACTTAATTCTACCTATTAGAAATTTACATGAAGCAGTATTTAAATTGTAGCTATCCTCAGTAGAGTTCTCTATTAAATACTTAAAGTGTATTTAAATTTTTTTCTTATAAACATTTTGAATTTGGATTTCATGAATCAGTGAATGTGACCATGCATTTGCATTGGTGCCTGGCAGTATGACACTGTCAAATCTTAATGAGAGCACTCTTATAGCTGAACAGTAAAAAGACAACCCAATTACAACATGGCTGCAAAATTTGAATACACATCTCCAAAGAAGATAAACAAATGGCCAGTGAGTACATGAAAAAGATACTCAACATTCTTAGTCTTTAGAGAATTGCAAATCAAAACCATCGGAGATCCTTGGGACCAACTAGGATGGCTGTAATCAAGAAGTCTGTGTTTGATTGGGGGCATGGCTCAGTGGTAGAGTGCTTGCCCAGGGTGTATGAAGCTGCCTGGATTTGATTATCAATGCTGAAAAAATGATTCAATATCACAATATTAAGTGTTATTAAGAAAGCATTGCTGGGGGGAAAGTTAAACGTGCACCTACTTTGAAAAATAGTCTGGCCATTCTCCCACTATATATACCCAAAAGAATTGAAAACATGTTTGCACAAAAATGCACTCAAATGTTCATTGCAGCAATATTTTCACTCAAAAGTGGAAACAATCCAAATGTTCAACTGGTGAATGTAGAAATGAAGCGAATTGGGTCTGTACAGTGGAATATTGTTCAACTGTAAAAAGGAATGAAACACTGAAATAGATGAGAACATAGATGAAACTTGAAAAGTGGTGAGTGAAAAGTTCCAAACCCCAAAGCCTGTATTTTATGAATCTGTTTATATAAAATGTCCAAATAGGCAACTCATACAAATAAAAATAGCTCAGCAGTTGTTAA